GAAAGTAGCCATGAGGACTGACCAGATAGCTCAGCGGATTAAATGCCTGCTTAGGCAGGCACAGGGACCCACGGTTCAAACTCCAGTATGCTGTGCCAGCCCCACCCCCAGGACATGCTCAGATGATGATTGAAACTGGACATGGTGGTACGCATGCCTGTGATCCCAGCACTTAGAAGGCTAGAAACAGGAGGATCACTTCAAGTCTGATCTGTATAGTGAGACTCTGTAGGCCCTGTACTAAATACACTAAAAAAAAAAGTAACCACTGCATGATAAGCTAGTGTAAGGACAGGATCTCAGATACAGAATACAGGCTTGTGGTCAGTGTCCATGAAAAGAAAGATTTCTTAAAAATAACAAGGGATGGGCCGGAGAGATAGTGCAGTAAAATAAGAGCTTGCCTGGCAATACAGGGTCCTGAGTTCAATCCCTGGTTCCACCAAAAAAAAAAAAAAAAAAAAAAAAAAAAAAAATCATCATTTTTTATAAGAGAAGCACCAGGCTGAAATCTGCAACAAGCTTCACCAAAAAAAAAAAAAAAAAAAAAAAAAAGAGATCACAAGGAATCAATCTAATATCTACTAGATGAGGCAAAAAAGAATAACTTAAGATTGATTCGAATCAATTAAAAAGTAGGAAACAACACAAATGATACTTTAAAAAAAACTGTTCACAGATACGACAGAAAATTTCCCTAGTACAGAAAATGAATTTGACATAGATAAGTGAAGTATGTAGAAGTCCAGTTAGCCACAATAAAAAAAGAAATCTACAACCAGACATATCATAAACAAATTCTGTAAATTGAACACAAAAGCAGAAACTTTAAAGAAATAATAGGATATTAAAAGAAAAACAACAGAGCACCTATAATGTAAAGCTCATAAAAATCACAGCTGACTTCTCAGCACTGACCGTTAAGTCAGTGAGTATTTGGAATCAAGTATTTCAAGATCTAAATGAAAACAGATTGTTGTAGCCCAAAAAACTTCTCTATCAAAACTGAAGAAATAAGATACTTCCATGACAAAGAACAGCTTAGAAAATTTATGACCACCAAACTGACACAGTCACACAGAAACTATCACAAAGAATCAACAACTGGATCTCATTTCATTAAAAGCTTTTGCACAGCAAAAGAAACCACCAATGGAATGAAGAGACAACCCACAGTGAGAAAAAATGTTTGCCTCTTGTTCCTCAGGCAAAGACTGCAATTGATAACATATCAGATACATATATTTGACTCCTGTAAGTTACTCATTTAAAGACAACCATAATTTAAAGAACTCATAAATACCAGACCTCCCAAATTTAAAGACCCAGTCCAAACAGTGAACATCCGAGTTGAATACACACTTTTCAGATGAACACATACAAACAACAAATAAATATATGAAAAAATATTCAGCATCACTGGTCATATGAGAGATGCAAAATAAAACAGCAATAAATCAATAGCATATCCTGAAGGTGCTGTGTAGAAAAAGGAACTCTTCTCCACTATTGGTATGAGTGTAGACTGGTACCACTGTGGAAATTAACGTGGAGTTTCCTAAAAAAAACAAACAAACTAGGATTGGAGGTCCCATTTAACCCAGCTAGTCACCTTCTGGGTACATCCCCAGAAGAATTAAAATCATCATACCACTGCAATATATGTACATCTGTGTGTATAGCAGCACACTTTATAATAGCTAGGTCTTGGAAACAACCTAAATGCCTATCAGATGGCTAGGGAGATAGCTCAGTAGAATAAGCACTAAGGTCCTAAGTTCAGTCCTCGGTACCACAAAAAAAAAAAAATAATAATAATAACAATACTAATAAATGTCTCTCAACCAAGGAATGGGTAAAAATAGATGCGGTCTTTTTGTACAGTGTATTGCTTAGCCATAAAGATAAACTTGAGGCTTTGACAGCAAATGGATGCAACTTGAGTGAAATAAATTCCTCACATTGAGTAAATGTCGTGTTGTCTTCCCTAATGTGAGAAGCTGAAGAGAAAATTAGATCCAAAATGAAGCATATATTGTAAAATGGGAAGAAATGGTTCAAAAGGAAAGAGAAACTGAGATGGAGGAAAGAAAAGAAGGGGGAAAAAAAAATATATATATATATATACACACACACACAAACACAAGATATATACTACTGATTTCTCTTAGTTCATTGAAAAGAAAGGTTTGTGCTAATATTGTTTGCATGATTAAATGCCTCTATGTTTCCTCTGAGTGGCTAACGATAACCATATGCAGGTATTAACCATTGATACCCTCCTGTTACCTTGTTTGGAAAAAAAATTTTTTTTTCTCTTTAAAAAAAAAGTTAAAGAAAGTGAAAGGAGGGCCTGCCAGATAGCTCAGCAGATTAAAGTGCCTGCTTAAGCAGACGCAGGAACTGGGGTTTGATCCTGCCAGGCCAGGTGGGCTAGCCCCACCCCAGGACACACTGAGACATTGATTGAGCCTGCAGGTGTTAGAGTACGCAGGCCTTTAATCCCAAAGCTTGGGAGGCTAAAAACAGGAGGATCACTTTGAGTCTGATCTGGGTAGTGAGACCCTGTAGACCCTGTACTAAATGCATTTTTTAAAAAAGTGAAAGGTTAAATGACAGGGAGGCTAACTCCTGTGGTACAGTGGAACAGAGAGTTCTGCTCCATTGTGTTAACAGGAGCAGAACTCACAGGTTTGTCCACAAGTTTTGTAATTACCACCAATTCTTAGGGGCCCTGGAATTCATTCCAGAGGGGGTGGTCATCTGTCAAACTGGATTTTCTTATCAATATCAGGTTTCTTGGTAACAGTGGCTGTATTTTAACTTGTGAGATCCTGTTTTTAGCCACTTAGTGAGACCCTATCATACAAATCACAGTGGGCTGAATATGTAGCAGCAGCAACAAACAACAGGAGACCCTTTCACCAGATAGGCCCTAAGATCACTAGCTATTGGCTCATGTTCTAAACCATGTTTCCTGGTGGCCTTGTAAATGAGATGTTGAGATTGGTTTGCCCAGAATCCCAAAGGACAATTACTGAGTGCTTCTGCATAGATCTTAGAGCTCCTCAGAGGAAAGACTTCATAATGCAGTTTGTGCTGTGCATTTCCTCATGTGGTCTCAGTCGGTTTCGGTCTCGGTCTCGGTCTCGGTCTCTGCGTGTGTCTGTCTGTCGGTCTCTCTCTCTGTCTCTTTCTCTCCCTCTCATTCTCTCTCTCCCTCTCCCTCTCCCTCTCCCTCTGTCTCCCTCTCTCCACAGTCTCACTGTGCAGTTCAGGCTGGCCTTGAACTCAGTTTGTAGCTCAGACTGGTCTTGAACTCGCAACGATCCTCCTGCCTCAGCCTCCCCAAGTGCTGGGATCACAGGCGTGTGCCACCATACCTGGCTTCCAAGTGGTCTCTTTAGTTTCTTAGAACCCAAAAGTTCCTCTTTTTAAAGTTTTATTTATTTTTGGTTCTTTTGTTTTTATTTTTTTGAGATGAGGATTTGCAGTGTAGCACTGACTGGCCTCAAGCTCACAGCAATCTTTTTGCCTCAGCCTCACAAGTGCTGGAATGACAGGCATGCACCAGCACACATGACTTATTTTCCATTTTCGTCACTAACTTGCCCAGGCTGGACTAGAACTTTCTATCTTCCTGTCTCAGCCTCCTACTATACTGAGATTCTAGGCCTGCGCCACCATGCCTGGTTGTATTTCTTTTTTTTTTTTTTTTAATTGCTGGTCTTTTTAGGATCTTACAAGTTGTCAGAACTTTGATGACTAAATTTTTTAAAAAGGTTTCCTGTTTATGACAAAGAGGACTGTATTCTACATGCATAGTGCACTGGATGTGAACCACTCTGGGCCATAAATAGGCCCTTTGTTCCATCTTTACCAGCACCAAGTTTTCCTCTCCCCACTTTGTTTATCTTCATCCTGCTTGTTGCCTGTGCCATTTTAATTTCTTGCTTGAGCTCTCATTCCTTTCAAAGAAAAAGAAAGCCCTTGACTGTATCTCGCTAAACCTCTTTATTGGCTGGTCATGTCAGTGCTTGTATTCTTTTGTGAAATATGCCAGGATTCCTATTGTAACCTAGAAGACTGCTTCTAGTTTAATAACTTAAAAACTACGTGTTGGGGGACAGGGATGTAGCTCAGTGGTATAGCACACTTCCTGGCAACTATGAGGTCCAGGGTTTATTTCCCAGCAACAATAAATGAATGAGTGAATGAGTGACAGTGGATTTGAGCTGACATTTTTAGGTTATGTCCTTAGGTTACCTTTGAGATGTTCAGTGCTAAAGGAAGAGAGGGATGATCTGAGAAAGGACAGGAAATTATCAGTTTGTGATTCAAAAGCAGGATTTGAAAATAAAAGCCTAGAAAAGAAAAACTAGGGAGATGGCTCAGTGAAATAGGCACTTCCCTGGCAAGCGAAAGGGACTGAGTTCAATCCTAGAGGAAAATTAATAAAAGTGTTAAATGGGTGCTGGGCACAGTGGTATAATCTGCAGTCCCAGCACTTGGGAGGCAGAGGCAGGAGCATCACCAGAATTTGATTCCAGTCTGGGCTGTACGTAGTGAGACCTTGCCTCAAAAAAAAAAAAAGGAGTGGGTGTGATGGCCTCTTCTCTGTAGGCCCCCCAGCTGAAACCTGGGGAGGTGCCATCCCTCTCTGACCTGCACCAACCCTGGCAGCCTTGGAGCTCCACCACTCCAGCACTTATCTCCTGGCAGCACCCTACCAGGCTGGGTGAAAAACAAAAGCCAAGGCACCACTTCCCCCAGCTGAGACAGAACACAGGCGGAGGGTATTTGTTAGAAATCCACACTGGGGAGCATTCTGAGCCTTCACTGTGTGGGAGCATTAGTAAGGTCTTACCATCTTGATTTTGTGCCTGTACCAGGGTGATGAGCCTTACCTCTCTCCATACAGATCGTGTCTGCAGTGCAGTATTGCCACCAAAAACGGATCGTTCACAGAGACCTCAAGGTGAGTTAGATACCCTTGCTCCATTCTGTCTGCCTGTGAGTCATTCACTTATAAGCATAATTAGGTTGTGTTTTTCAGTAAGAAAAACATTCTATAACTGAATCATTTTCATCAAATCACAGTAAGAAGCATTGCAAATAAAGTAAATAGGGCATGGTGCGTGTCTCTAATCTCAGTGCTCCAGGAGGCTGAGGCAGGAAGATCACAAGTTTGAACTAGCCTAGACATCTTAGCAACTTCATGAAACTGTTTCAGAATTTTAAAAAATAACAGCTGGGGCTGTCACTCAGTGTGAAGCTCCTGGGTTCAATCCTCAGTACCACAAAAAATAAAAAGATGGGCGGGAGGAAGGGAAAGGAAATTATGAAAACATGTCACATTTCAGTGAATGTGGCAGGAGATGGCTCTGTGGAGAGCAGTTCCCTCACACACAGGTGGGATCTGGGCACTCAAGCACCTGGACGGTGTTCTCAGTCTCAGTCCCTGGCACCCACAGCCACTCCCAGGTGGGCTTTCTCTTGGAGCAGCACCCCCATGGGAAGCCTCCCTTGGTCTGAGTCAAGCCTCGCTGCTCAGTCACGTTCGCAGCAGTTTACCTGGCAGACCCTTAGGTTTGGCTGCACTGGTTGTTAGCCCTTATTACCTCTTGTCCCAGGAAAGAGAGTGCCTGTGCACCCCCTGCTCTCCACCTGTCTGCATTGCCTGCTGCCTCTGTGTGCTCCAGTGATCTTCCCACACTCCCTCTGTGGCACATCCACACGAGCAAGCTTACACCATCCCTTCCAGCAAAACCTCCCCGGCCACACCTCGTCCTCATGCTCCCTTTCTGCCTTCGGATCACATTCTAGATGCCCAGTTTTAAGGTGGCGCTCATTCCTGTCCACGGTCTCCCCATGTAATTGCGGTCCATGTGCGTGTTCGCAGTGCCCATCCTCGGTGCATTCATGATTACTGCAGCACTACAGTGGCACTTGTGTGCTGAGGGCCATACCTGTTCCAGGAATGTGACTGGCAAGCGGCCATCTTCACCTGAGCATGCCTCAGGCCCCATGGGTATAGCTGAGTAAGAGCCTGTACCCATCACTCCTGAACTGGAAGGTGCATTCCTCACTGGTGACAGTGACCCTCAGGCTTCTTCTGCTCAGCCCTTGACTCAGTCACCAGGTTCCTTGCTGCTGATTCCCAAATGTTTCTTTTGCCCACTTTCCTTCTATCCAACCAAGACGATCCATCACTTCATACTTGATTAAAGGCTAGTTTCTTGCCTGGTCTTCTCTGCTTTCTGTTTCTTGTTTGTTTGTTTTGTATTTAGTACAGGGGCTACAGGGCCTCACTACACAAATTGGACTCATACTGATCCTCCTGTTTTCAGCCACCCAAGCACTGGGATTACAGGCTCATGCCACCACACCCAGTCTCAATGCTGTCTCAGCTCACCCCAGGGATGGGGCCAGCACTGCACGGCCCAAAATGGACCGGTCCCTGCATCTGCATAAGCAGGCACTTTAGTCTGCTGAGCTATCTGGCTAGCCTCACTTCCTGTTTTGTCTCTTTCTCTCATGTTTTCTGCAACTCTTTAGTGGCTTCCTTTTGCCTTTAGGATGCACACCCACATTTCCTAAATCCAGCTCATTTGGGCCTCTGTGGTTCAGCCCAGCCCCCATCCATCTCTGTATACCTTTTTCCCCACACACTGTCTTTCAGACTCTTGAAGGAAACTTTGTTGCCTTTGTTCTGCCTAAAAACACCTGCTGCCACACATCTTCTTGGGCTTTGATTTCACATTTCCTGGGACCCCCTTACCCCCTCCCCATGCTGTGCCCATGGTGGGTGCCTCCACTGTCACAGCGCTTGGTCCTGGGGCTGTTTATCTTTCTGCCTTGCTCCTCAGCTATGAACTCCTAAGGGCAAAGAGCTCTGTCTTGCTCATCACTATGTCTCCAGACTCCTGTCTGCTGTCTGTTCTGTAATAGCCACAGAGTAAATGTTAACTGAAGTAGGTGAAAGTTATGTGCTTTGTTTCTTGGGATTCTTCCCTTCCCAGTACATAATAGCCATTTAGCAGTTTTTATGGACCTTTAGCAGTCTTCCAGACCTTGCACTTGCCAGGCAGGTGATTGTGCCTATCTCCCTGGGCCTGTAGAAATCTTTTTTTTTTTTTAACATTTATTTATGTATTTATTTGTGTGTGTGTGTGTGTGTGTGTGTGTGTGTGTGTG